TGACCATCGCCTCATCGGCTTCAACACCTGCCTGGCCCAGATGTTCTTCCTGCACTCCTTCTCTGTGGTGGAGTCCTCAGTGCTCCTGGCTATGTCATTTGACCGCTTTGTGGCTATCTCCAATCCCCTACGCTATGCAGCTATCCTCACAAATAATGTCATCATCAGGATTGGCATGGCCATCGTGGCCCGTGCTACCTTGTGCCTCTTCCCTGTGCCATTTTTGATTAAGCGTCTAAACTTCTGCCCTGGAAATAAATCCCTGTCCCATTCGTTCTGTTTTCATGCTGATGTGATGAGACGGGCCTGTGCTGACATCACCATCAACATACGCTATGGGCTCTTCGTGGTTCTGTCCACGTGTGGCATAGACTCCCTGCTCATAATCCTGTCCTATACTCTCATCCTGCACACAGTCATGGGCCTAGCCTCTCCCAGGGAGCGAGTTCGGGCCCTCAACACCTGTGTTTCTCACATTCTGGCTGTATTTGTCTTCTTTATTCCAGTTATTACCATGTCTATGATCCACCGTTTTGGAAAACACCTGCCCCACATTGCACATGCTCTTATTGCCTATGTGTACCTGATGGTGCCTCCTGTGCTCAACCCCATCATCTACAGTGTGAAATCTAAGCCCATCAGGGAGGCCATGATCAGTGTGCTGAAAGGGAAGAGGCAAAGCTGAACAACTAAACAGACAAACAAAGTATCTGGGTGAAAATATGACCAAACAGTTATATATTTTGCCCAGAAAGCCCATACTCAGAGCTCTGAAACAGGCACATTTTCAAGAGTATGACAAGCAAATGGATGCCCTCTGAATCATAGGTGAAGGACTGTCTTAATTTCTCCATGTACTTGCTAACTAGAGGTATTTTATTCAGTGTTTATCTGTGTCTCTCGCTACAGATATTCAAATGAACCATATATGGTCTTTTCTATCCATTGGAGGACAGAAGCCTATAGGTGCACAATTATGGTAAAGTGCAATGAAACTGTGATAGACACACACAAACTGCTCTAGGAACATAGAAGACAGTTACTGGCCCTGCAAGAGGAAATGAGAAAAGATTCACATAAGAAGGATGCCTAAAGGTGAATAGGGGTTCCCCAAGCAAGGAAGGGCACACCTAATAAAGAAAAAAGAATGTTGAAAAACAGAAGTATAGAATAATAGGATGTACTTGTGGAAATGCAAATTGTCATTGTGGTTCAGCACAATCTGTGTATGTCTGTGTTGGAGGGAGCACAAGGGGAGATGAGCAGAAAGGACAGGCAGTGGAGAGACCTCTTGGAGCATTTCACACCTAATTGATACATTTGATACATTT